GCGCCCCTGGGAGCCCTCTCGGAGCAGCCCGGGTTGCGCCCCCGCGCCCGCCGCAACCGGCCTGGACAGGGAAGGCTCTCCCCGCAGGCCAGGACGAGGAGTTCGTGCTCAAGCTCATTAACCGGCCCATCCTGGTGCTGCGCGGCCTGGACGGCTTCGTGTGCCACCGCCGGGGCTCCAACCAGCTGGACACCAACCGCTCGGTCTACGACGTCTTCCACCTGAGCTTCAGCGACGGCGCCTACCAGATCCGAGGTGCGGGCGGCGCGGGGCCGGGGCGGCGGGGTGGGTGGGGGTCCGGGAGCCGCGCCCCGCCGACGCCCTCTCGCCCCCCAGGCCGCGGCGGCGGGTTCTGGCACACCGGCAGCCACGGCAGCGTGTGCAGCGACGGCGAGCGCGCCGAGGACTTCCTCTTCGAGTTCCGCGAGCGCGGCCGCGTGGCCATCCGCGCGCGGAGCGGCAAGTACCTGCGCGGCGGCGCCTCGGGGCTGCTGCGCGCGGATGCGGACGCACCGGCCGGGTTCGCGCTCTGGGAGTACTGAGCGCGCGGCCCGCTGTTCCCATTAAACCGTGTCTGTGTCGCAGAGGCTGGCGGGCTCCGTGGCGCCGCCCCGGGGGTGGGCGCGAAGGGTCTGCAGCTGGGGCCGCGCGGGCTGGCTCTGCGCGCGGGAGCGGGGGCTAGGCCTGGACGCGCGCCCCCGCCCGCGGGTCAGCGCTGGGGCTCCTCCTGTCCTGCCTCCCGCACAGCCAGCTCCTCTCCACCCAGCACGGGGGCGTCAAGCCAGTTAGAGGGACCTTGGGGTCAGCGTGTCTCCACCGCGCATCACCGCTCCCCTAGTCAGGTGCAGAGTCTTAGGGAATCCCCAAAGGGCCTGATGGAAAACGACCCGCCGTCCCCGACAGGGCCACGGATGGCCAGCCACAGGGAGAAGGGCCTTCTCAGCTCCTACCCGTGACTTGCTGCCACCCAGCCCCACCGAGCCCAGGAGGGGGGCTTTCAGGCCAAGCCCCTCCAACTTGCTTACAGAGATCCTCCTCTGCCTTGCCCCCAAGCAGGCTGGCTGCCCTAATGCCAGGGTGAATGATGGGGCAAAGCCCATGGCTCACCTACGTCTCCCCACACCAGCCCTCAAGGACCCCTCCGCAAGACAAGGCCTCTTGGATGAGCTGGGTGACATGTGCTTTCCAAGCGGGGTTGGGGGTGGAGGTCGTGCCCCCTGGGATTGGTCAGGGCCTTGAAGATGGGGTGATGGGGGGCTGGGGGAGCACAGGTGGGAAGCAGCCTGAGAAAGCCTGGAGCCCAGGAGGATGACCTCACCCAAAGATGACACCCTCGCTGCTCTTTCCCTAGGCCCAAGCCCTCTCCCCACCCAGGGGCAGCCCTAGCCCTTGCTTGGGGCCTGAAGACCCCCCACCCCAGTGAGTCCCGAGGAGGTGGTTCAGTGGAGATGGGGCATTTTAAAAAAAGAGGGCAGCAGGGAGGGGGTGCAGAATGGGTTCGGGGAGATCAGATGTCGGATTGGAGAGGAAGGGGATGAGGCGACCTGAGGGCAGGGAGAGCCTGCTAGGACAACCTCCCAAGCTTCCGTGTCGCCCTGTCTCTGGGGACCCCCGGGTACGATCCCCACCTCAGGGACAAGGGAGGGCGAGGGTGTGTGTGGGCAGGCACCGGCTAAGTCTGTGAACAGACACTGGAGCCCAGAGCCAGAGGGGGCAGGAGGCAGCTGAGCTGCCCCCTGGTGGCATCTGGGACAGGAAGATTGGGGACTCACCTGCCAGGGTGCTGAGCCCAAGAAAGCAGCACCAGGCCTGGGTTCCCTGACCCCCGCAGGGTGTCAAGGAGGGGTCTCACCTTCGCTGACCTCAGCCAGGCAATGTGCTTGGTGCCCGCACAGCCTGGGGCAGCCACCGGAGATAGGAGGCAGGGAACAGTGCCAGTGGGTCCTTGGGAGGGGCCGACAGGGGTGGCAGTAAGGACACCCTGGCACCGGCTGGGACTGGATGGAGGGAACATGCTGTGGCTGAGGGGGGTTGGATTGCGTGCAGGGGCTGTCACTGCGGTGGCCAGCCTGGGGCCTCACACACAGCAGGGGACTGCAAAGGGGCGTGTGTTCAGCGTGGTGCCCTCTGGCCAAGGAGATGCTAAAAGGGGGCAGGTGAGGGCTCCTGGGTCACATTTGTGGCCCAGGTGGCTCCGAGCAGCTCAGTGTGGATTGTCACTTCTCCTGGCTATGTGGCCCCAGGCACCCACCCTGCACCTGTGTTTGGGCACTTTCCTGGCTGCAGTCAGGTCTTGTGTGTTCATCCGGCTCACTGTGTTGCAGCCGGGTTGAGACGCATCGCCTTGTGGTTTGTGTCCTATTTGTCCTGTCCCTCCTTTCTCGCCTCCTCTCAGATTTATCAGGTTCCCCCCATTGCTCCGTTTTACCCCTCCCCCTCTTTTGATTTTTTTGGGTGTGTGTAGTTTTTCTCCTTTTTGGGATACTCCAATGTGTACACAGCACGAGGCGTCTGCCCAGAATCAGGATCTCCGCACCCACAGCACACAGGCAGGACAGGGTCCTTCCCGCTGCTGCCATCGGGTCTCAGGCAGCAGCGCTGTCTCCAGGGTTTTCGTTTTTTTTTTTTTTGCTGAGCCATTCCGCCACCTGTTGGCTGCTCAGCTCGGGCTGGGCACTGAACCGCTGTTGCTCAGAGCTCACACTCTTGAGCGAGCTCTTAACCGACTAAGCCACTCGGCCGGCCCTCCAGGGTTTTCCTTGAGAACCCAGCACAGGTGGCAGGCTTGCTAGGAGAGCTCTTAGCTCTGCGGCCACCGCCTGTGTCATGAGCTGCACAGTGGGGACCAGGGGTGGCCAAGGCCCCCTGCTGCCTGGGAAGATGGCTGTGTTGCTCTTCCACACACCACACTGGTGCCTGCAGAGCTGAGGCTTACAGGGCTGGGCAAAACATGGCAGACAGCAGCCCCTCTGGGTAGGTGAGCCCTGCAGGCCACCAAAAAATCCAGGTCAGCTCTGGGCTCTGTGCAGCCTGTGCTGGGGGAGAGGGGGATTGCTGGGGCAAGGCCTGGGACGCGTCACCCTTCTCTGTGGCAGGCACAGGCCCTCTGAATGTTGTCCTCGGCCTACTCCTAAAGGGCTGGTCTGTCTCGGGGCACTTGTGGACTGGCCTGGCCACTCCATCCTCCCCTATGGCACTCAGGTAGGTGGCAGAAAGGTGACCCTTGGGAACAGCTGGGCATGAAGCTGGTGAGGGGGTAGAGCCTTCCCAGGCCAGGCCAGGCCGCAGCCTCCCTCCAGGCTGCGTAGGGACCACCCTGGACCAGCAGAGGCTGGAGGTGAACCCGCTCGCGCGCCCTGGAGGTCACCGTCACAGCTCCTCCCAGCCAACATGGGATGAGGGCAGTCCTGGGTGGGCTGGCCCTCTGCCCCCCACTCCCTGCCCTGGAGAGCCCTCCAGTGTGGGGTCCATGCAGTGACCATCCACTCTCCCAGACCCTGACTCAGAGAACCCCGTTGGCTTTTCTTCCTCTGTGGAGGGTGACAAGGAAGTGGCCTTGGTCCTCTAGGAAGGGGCCCTTGTGACCTGAAAGGCCTGATGGGTACTGCAGGGACCTCCAGTGCTGGCTCATCTGGGCAGAGCAGCGGTGCCAGACTTAGCGGAGTCAAGAGCGGGGGACGCCCAGGAATTCAGGTCCAAGATGCCACCCAAGTGAGAGGGGGGAGGTAACAAAACCGGCAGAGGTGAAGGCAGTTCAACAGAAAGGCTCAGTTGTCATTGACAGCAGGGCCGTCACAGAGTCACCTCCCCCAACACAGAAAACATCACCACCCTGAGAGGCCCTGAAAAAGCTGCAGCCACAGGCCAACCCAGGAGCACCCTCCCTTGGTCTTTGTGCTTTGGTGGCAGGGAGCACCCCCCACTTGGTGACCCCAGCAGTACAGAGGCAGAGTCGAGGTGCCCCAAGCGGTTCCTGGGTGCCTCCAGGAACAGCGACAGCAAATCCAAACCCACCCCAAGTCGTGGCCAGAGCCCTCTCTCTCTGTGAGCTCCACAGGCTGCCTGGGGAACACTGCTCCAGCCCAGGGGTCTGAACCTCGTGTTCTGGGCCGGGCTTCTTGGTGGCGGGGACGTCGCTGATCCCACCTGAGTGCCCTGGGTTGGGGACTGCACAGCAGAGGCAGGTGGAACGCAGAGGCCGTGGGCAGCTGCGGGAGGAAGACAAAGGAGCCATGCGGGCGCGGGCCGTGAACCGGGGCAGGGCGGGGCTCAGGTGGCCATTCAGGGGCCAGGTGCCCTGCGTTCTGCAGTGCAGTGGCCATGCTCACCCCCAATCCCCCGCGGCCAAAACCAGCCGCAGCTGTGTCCTGGCTCAGAAGCTGGTCAGTAGCCTTTTGAGTTCCAGGTTTTCCTCCATAAAACCACAGAGGCGCTGAGCTGTCAGGTGGCCCACCTGGCATCACAGCAGCAGGAGGCTGGGGCTGCGGAGCTCCCTGTACACCTGCAGGAGCCGCTCAGCCGCGGCATAGGAGCGGGCTCGGTCCTCCGTGCACAGCTGGTCACGCAGCGTCTGCACCTCCTGCAGCAGCATCTGCAGGGGGGAGGTGACAGTGGATAGGTCCCTCACCCTCCCACTGGGCACGTCGCCGGGTTCCTCTAGGGGACACCCATCCTGCACAAATCCTCCTTGAGACATGGTAGGTGGTCCAGGAAAAACGCTCATCTGTGGCCTTACAGTGTGGGACACCCCACCTGGCCTCTGAAGGCCCCTCAGGACAGGAGAGTGGCCGGGCTGAAGGGGAGATCATGCTCCCCAGGTGACAATAGGGTCCTAGCTAACAGGCAGGAGTGGGGCCAGAGACAGACGTGATATCACCCACGCTCGCCCCCTCCCTCCGTCAGTGCTGAGGACTGAATGGGCCCTGCCGGCTGGGACACAGGAGCCTGGCCGGGGCCAGTCCTCACTGCCCGGGCTAGCGGGAGGTCCAGGGCCTCACCTCATGGTTGGCTTGGATCTGGTGCAAATACTGCATGCGGACGTCAGGGGGGCTGGAGCCCTGGGCAGCCTGCTCCAGGACCATCCTCTGAGGGCACAAGGGGCAGGTAGCTGGAGAGGCACTTCCTGAGCCAGGTGGCCCCTTCCCGTCCTCACCCCCATCCTCTTGGTCTCCTTGCTTCACCCCCATTTCTCCCCAGATGCTTTGGGGCCTCACCGCCCACACGGGCACACACCAGCCCCAGCCTGGCCTCCTTGGTTCTTCCCCACCCGCTGCCCCCCCTCCCCATCCCGAGTCGCCTTCAGTCCTTGCTCCAGCTGGTCAGCATGCTCACTCAGCCCACTCTGGGGCTGCTCCAGTCCTGATAGCTGCAGGAAGCCCCGTGGGCTCCTGGGGCTCAGACCCGGTGTGGACAGGTCGAGACAACAAGGACCCTGCTGGCCGCTGGTGCCAAGCGCTGAGACAAGAAGCCGACACCACGAGACACAGCAAGAGGGACAGTCCAGACACTGCACACCCGGCAGAGTCCCAGAACCAAGTGGCTAGCTGTCCACCTTGTGGCTGCCAGGTTCCACAGGGTCTGGGGACGGCCCGCACATGAGGCCCAGAGAGAGTGACGGTCGGCTTGGCCCCGCTGGACTGAGGAACGTAGGAGCTGGACTGCTCTCGGCATGGAACATGAGCAGTCTGAGGACAGTGTCACAGGCAGAACTCCCGACAGGCGGCACCATGGCCCTAGAGACCATCCTGATGGCTTGAAGATCAGGGCTCAATTCTTGAGCCAGCCGGGGCTGCTGCAGGGTGTCTGGCTCGCCTGGGTGCAGAGGGGTCCAGAGCAGCGGCCCTCAGAGCCTCGTCAAAGCTCCAGCCACAGGCTCTCTGGTTCTCAGGCTGGGGGGGCGCCTGGGAACGTGCACTGATAAGTCCCAGGTGAGGCTGATGCAGACACCATGCTTAGGAAAAGTTGTCAAAGTTGGCTGGTGCTGCCACTGCAGAGCCCTCTGTGCGGGAAGAGACGAGCTGTGCAGACTTTCTTCTGGAACGTGAAGACCTTCTGACTTGGGAGTCATGGTCCCACTGCCCTGCACGGGACTGCAGCAGCCTGCTCCTGCACCAGGTGGCCGGGCACCGGGGCTGCAGGGGGGCCGGCTGCCAACTCCCACTTTCTGGGCAAAGACATGGAGGCTCAGACAAGTGGATGCCTTGTCCCGGGACCTGAGCCCGGGGTATCTGACCCCCGGGCACGGCCTCCCCACATGGCCTCTGTACAGCCAGCCAAGTGCAGAAACCCCCAGGTGACTGTGGCAGCTGATAAGTGACGACAGCCCCCTTTAATCTGTCGACTACAAGGGCTCTGATCGCCCACGGGAGCTGCTGCCAGGAGCGTAAGCAGCAAACCCCCACGCCCCAGATCACCTGCGGGACACATGCATTTGGAAGCAGAGAAGCGGGGAGGCTGGCCTGTAACCCCCATGCAGGGCGCCACAGACCCCAAGGTCCTGTCCCCACCTCCTCACAGAGATCGCCCCTGCAGGCCGATGGGCTGACGTACCTGCATACGTCTGATGACAGCGTGGTGGACCCCGCACATGTTGGCCAGAGAGGGGCTCTCCACTTGGATCTCCACGGCCTGGATGGGCCCCTCCGGGCACAGGTCGGTCACAGTCACCTGCCACACATGAGGAGACTCGTGCCCGCCCATAGCCCTGGGGCCCAGCTCCCTGGCTTGCGCTGCCCTCTCTACCGTTGTGGGCAGCCCAGGGTGTCCAGGCCTGGGCTCCCCACCCGACGTCAACTCCCACTTGGCAAACCAGCCAGCTGACCAACACCAAACCTGCTCACTCGTCCAGGAGGAGCCCCCTCCCTTGGGAGCCAGACCTGTGGCCCCCAGTCGAGAACAAGGTGACTGCTGTGACAGGCCCACTATAGACATCCCACACCTGGATCCCACTCATGGCCCACACTGCACGATCAGGTCACCTGACAGCTGGGTCAAGGTTTCAGGCGTGAAAACAGGCAGTGGGCGGGGTGGTCAAGGCCAGAGGTCACGTGACCTCCCGAGCGTTTGCCCGCACTGAGCTGAGGATGCAACTGGGAAGGACAGGCTGAGGGCCAGGGCAGCAGGTTGGCTCCCCCCACAGCACACAAGGCAGGACGCCGGGGCCTGGGGAGGGTGCTGTGACTGGCAGCTCTTCCAACATGCGCAGAGCCAACACCAGCCCCCAGAATCGGGGCCCAGGGACACCCCAACCTTGACGCCGGCCTGGTCTTGGCCTGATCAGAAAGGGCTATGCAGTGGGCAGCCCCACCCACCACCCTCGGGGACGTGTCCTGGCCACCTGGGCTACTCCGTGAGAGCCTCTAACACTGGAACCTAAGGGTCTGTGGACGTGACCCCAGGCCGGCTGCCAGGAGGGTCTCAGAGAGGAAGGGGTGTAAGACGGAGGGGCTGGGGGACTTGCGGCCCCATTTTAGGGACCAGGCTGCCCCATGCGAGCAGCTTCCACAAGGGGCCTGGCACCTCCTGATGATCTAGGGGTGAGTGGCTGGGGCTGGTGTGGTACGGGCCATTCCTGGGGACACAAGGCCGTCCTGAGCAGTGCTGGGAGCCCTGGGACCGGCTGAGTTCCAGCAATGCTGGGGTGGGGCCGTGCATGCTGAGCAGTGCATGGCTGGCCGGTCCTCACCGGGGACCTGCCCCAGCACAGCTGTGTCTCTCGAGCTGAGCATGCGTCCTGATCCCCTGGAGAATGTCCTCCCGAGCCACCCAGAGACGCTGCTGGCTCTGGACTCCACTCAGAACCACTGGCGTGGAGACCAATTTCCCGAGACAGAAGAGCCAACCCCCTGCTTGCCTCGTGGATGGTGAGGTGGATGTCAGTGCCATCTGGGGCCACTCCCTGGACAGAGGACAGTGCTTGAGCCCTCACAACATCTGCGGTGGCATTCTCAGCGAGGAGCCACTGCAGGGTGGCACAGCACAGGGACACACCTGAAGGAGACAGGTGCAGGCCATGGGCTTGAAGGCCTCAGGGCCCCGAGGCCAGAGAGAAGTCAGCCAGTGCCACTAACCTGAGTAACTGTCCCCCAACGTGGCCCTGAGCAGCTCTGCCGACACCCTGATGGCAGCCACTGACGGGGGCAGGTACTTGGCTCGCAGGGACGTGGGTTCTGCCTGCTCACTGCCCAGCCTGCGGCAAGTTGCCAGGAAGGTGTTCACAGGGTCACTGGGGGGGCGGAGAGGGCCAGGGGCCTGTGTGCAGGGCGCAGCCAGGCCACGGAAACGCAGGCCGTGCAGCATGTCCACCGTGTGCTCGCTCAGGGGCAGGCAGATGCCCTCCTGCTCGGGCAGGATGTCAGCAGGGCACCCACCCAAGGAGGGATCCTCGAAAGAGTCAGAGGGGGCCAGGGCCCCGCCCACAACCTCCCTGAGGCTGTAGAAAAGCGTGCAGGACACGGTCACCGGCAGGTCGAGCACACCGTCCTCGCCAGGGCCCAGGGGCAGCGTCACTTCTTGCCGACCGCCGGGGCTGAGCCGGTCCACGGGGACGGTGTAGGTCACGGCTGAGCCAGCCGGGTCCAGTTCTGCAGCATGGGGGCTGGCGAGGACCTGGATGCACAAGGCCCAGCCCCGGTCCAGGCTGAAGCTGCTGCTGTTCTCCAGCAGGCAGGTGGCGGTGAGCAGGTCCCGCAGCCCCAGGTGAAGCCAGGAGGTGGTGGTGGTGCACGTGATGGGCCGGGGGCCCTCCCGGTGGGACAGCAGGGTGCAGCTCACGTTCATGGCTTCGTTGAGGCATGTCAGGGCCCGATTCCGCTGGTCAACTGCCTTCTTCAGAGAAGACACCCTGGGAAGAGCAGATATGGCACCCAGGAAGGAGTGAGCGGTCAGGATGGCGGAGGCATGTCCCCCGCTCCCAGGTCAGGAGGGACCACAACTTTGCTCCTCGACAAACAGCAAACGAGGAGCAAGCCTCCGCCTCAAGGAGCTGTGTGTGTCCTACCCACACCGCCCCCACCTCTGACCCAACCCCTCCTGGGCAGCAGGAGGAATGAGGATGGAGCGAGAGGCCTGTGCGTGGCGGGCCGGGCCCGCCCTCCGCCACAGCCCCAGGGCCCAGGTGGTGCCCGTGGTGGGACTGGCCACCCTGACTTGCTCCCCACGTTCTGAGTTGGTCCTTTTGCTTCTCTGCAGCCACCACGACAGCCTGGAGGGCGACGCTATAGAAATGAGCCTGACCCACAGGGGTCCAGGGCCTGTGGACGCTCACTCAGGGCCACGGGAGGGCAGGTGAGGCCTGAGAGGAGCCAGCTCGCTGAATGGGTCAGAGGAAGGGGCTGCTGGCCCCCTCAGTGAGAGCAGGGAGGGGGAGGCGGCGGCGGCCTCCGAGGGGAAGGGTCCCTTGGGGGAGAGCTGAGGAGTCTCCTGTACCCTCTGCCAGGGAAAAGGTGGGTGGCGGTCTGAGAAGACGGTGGGTGCCCCTTTTGTCTTCTGAGATAGCCAGCCTTTAGTGAAGCCTTTTGCCAGACAATTTGATGCCGGGGGCCTCGCTAGTGGCCAGGGACAAAGTAACGCAGCTGGCCTGGACCACTGTTCCAGTTCCCACCCAGGACATCGCCCCCCAAGGACGCAGCCTGCTGCTCACCTTTCAGAGACCGTGCCAATTCCACAGAGCAACTCCTTAATTTTTCGGCCAGCATTCGCTGCAGTCACTCCAGCGGGATGAGGCGTCTCAGCGCTCGGGTCCAGGCTGCAGGTCATCAGGCGGCCTTTGGCAGACAAGGCCAGGAGCTCAGTGCCACCTGAAGACAGACACGGGCAGGGACCAGTCAACAGGAGGGAGGGGAAAGCTGCCGGAACACCCAGCAGCTCCGCCTGGACTTAAGACTCAAGTGCTGACGGAAAACCAGCAGCCAATGAGGCCCTGAAGACGGCCGGGAGAGCCCGGGACGCACCAGGGGCCGGATGGAGCTGCCCATGCTCACCTTACGCTCACCTGGGAAGGGATGTCAGCACAGTGGAGGTGGCACCAGTGGCACACTATACATGGACAGGACTAAAAGGGGCCATACAAGGACCCGTGCAGGGCACCGTGTCAGCTGGATGTGGGCAGAGCCGTGCGTGCCCATCACTCTGACGTGGCTCCAGCCGGGCTGTCCTAGAAGCCCTTGGTCTCTGGGGCTCCCTACTCCTGGCCTACGAGCGGGTCCCCCAGGAAATAGGCTTATCTGTTTGCCCCCAAACCCAATCCCACTGCCCAGAGGTGGGGCAGCTCAGGGCCCTCTCTCCCTGCAAAGCGTTTCTTTCACATTGACAGCTGTCCATGGCACGCCCTGTGACGACTCACAGGCCATCTTAAGATGAATGTGCCCTGGGGGAGGGTGGCTCTGTCCCTCTCCCTCAACAATGGGCAAACACAGCTAAAACCCTCTGTGGCTGTCCAGGTAAACACACCATCAGCTCTAGGACGCCACCTGCCTCCGGTGCAGAGTGGGCGTGTTAGCGGGCCACACGGTGAGCGGGGCAGGCGTTTGCGGGCCTTCGGAAGTGTAAAGGCTTGACCTAACCCCCTGGGCTCTCCCCTGAGCTACCTGCAATGTAAGAGCGTCACGGTAAGATGCCCCTGCCCTAGATCACCCAGGTGTAGACACCACCCAGGCATATCTGCTCCTAAACCCACACAGGACAGTAGGGCACTCCCTGACCCCATGGCAAGGACTGTCGACCATGAGGTGAGGATAAGCCTGCCCTTGTCAGGCTCATGAAAGACAGGAATGAGGCAGGACAGGCCAGTTCACAGGGGTCAAGACTGACAAAGGGCAGGGGCGGGGGTGTCCACCTTTCCTCAAGGCTTCAGGTTTAAACGGTGACTCGTACCTTCCGGCACGCTAGATGACACAGAGAGGGTGACGACACTGCAGACACTCAAGCTGGTTGGACACAGCAGAGAGGGCAGGCCTCCTGGGCCCCTGCTGGGCTGCACGGGGTCCCCGTGGACACCTGCCCGAGCCAGGTCCACCACACAGAGGTTGGAGGGGGTGCTGTGGTACATGAGGCCGTTCCCGCAGCAGGCTGCACAGAGCACAGGCCCTGGCAGGCAGTACTCCCGCAGCTCTGGCACCAGGTTCCCTGCCTCGTCCCAGCTGGCCTTGATGGCCAGCGTCCGGCCATGGTGACCAAGCGCCACCAGGCAGTCAGAGTACGTGTCCTCCACGTCCTCAGCCAGCGGCTCAGTCCTCAAGGCCCCGATGAAGATGACGGGCTCCTCCAGGTGATGGAGGATCTTGACAAGGGCCTTTGGGTCACCGGGGGCTGACCGAGAGGTGACCAGGGTCTTCAAGACCACAGAGCAGAGCTGGCCGTCGGGAAGACCACAGAGGATCACAGGTGATTCCAGGAGGGAGGCGTCAGCTCCAAAGAGTAGCCCAAAGAGAGCCCCCTCTAGTGTGAAGTCCCCGGAACCCCGAAGGAGGCCGTGCAGGGCCCTGGAGCCTGGTGGTGACACAGAGCACAGTACTGGGAGGAAGCGGGGGGCTCTGGGCTCCCCTGGACTCCCAGCTGGGGGGTTGCAGGTGGACAACTCCACCTCACCGATGAGGCCTCTGGGCCTGGGGTCCTCCCCTGGACAGGGACGCTCAAACAGCTGCACCTTCCACTGGGCGGGGCCCTGCGCCAGTGTGACGAGCACGGAGTCCAGCACAGTGAAAGCACACAGGGTGGCGTCAGGAAGGACACAGGCGTGCAGGTCCACAGGGATCACAGGGTAAGGAGGCTCCCTGTCCTTGTCGTCCCCACCATTCTGGCGCACAGACCTTCGAGAACACAGAGAACTGTCAGTCACGATGTTCACATGCTGTCACGGTACCTGCCACGAGTACGCTGGCTCTGGGCCCTTCACAGGGAGCGATCTCAGTGACTGTCACAGTCCTTCAGCAGTGTGGGGGAGGCTCAGCAGGGAGTGGGCGGCCAACCACACCGCTCCGACCTGCCCCATGGACTGGTCTGCTCAGCATTGGTCGCCCAGGGGCACAACACAGCAAGGCGTTCCGATGGAAAACTCTCATCAGTGCAGACCTGTAAGGCCCTCAGTCTCATCTCGGCATCGCACCTACTCTTTCTATGCCCTAAGCCTGCCGCAAGCAGGCGCCCACATCCAGGCTCTGGTACTCGGAGGGGCCCGGCTCCTTAACATGGACGTCCTCTAACCGCTGAGTCAGGGACCACAGAAGCCCACCTCAAAGGTGTGTCAGGCCAGAGGACACAGGGCCACCAAGGCCAAGAGGGCAGGTCCTGCTCCTGGCTGCAGACTCAGCCGTCTGCACTCCATCTACTAAGGATGCAATGCGAACAGCAGCCTGCCCGAGAGCGCAGGGGCTGGGGGTGGGGGCACCCACGACTGGTGAGCTGGCTTTGAGCCCACCATCCCCATGCGAGGGCTCATTCTGAGCCCAATCCAGGGGCAAGCGGATCACACGGGCCACCGGGCGGTGTTTGAGGGCAGCGCCGGCCGCGTAGACCCGGCCCACGCCGTGCTGCCCAGCGACCCCTCCTCACCTGCTCGCCTGGTCCAAAGACAAGCAATAGATGCCCCTCTGAGCGCACAGGACGTAGAGCGCCCCGCGACGGGCCAGAACCTCCAAGTGCCACACCGGCCCGGGAAACTTGTACACCGCCTGGATGTCGGGGAGGCAGAGCACGGCACAGGCTGCTTCCAAACCCGCTCCTCGAACGCGCCGCGCCGGCCCCTCGGAACGGCCCGGGGCCCCGCCTCTCCACCCGCCCCCTCCCCGAACAGACCCCCGGGACCCGGGACCCGGGACCCCGCCCCTCGGCGCTCACGGTCAGCAGCCGGCCCTCGCGGTCGTAGACGTAGACCAGCTCCCTCCCGGTGGACAGGACGATCTCCGCCCCGCGGCTCAGCACGCGGGGCCTGCCCGCCGTCAGGCCCCCGAGCGGGCAGAAGTCCGCCAAGTAGTCGACGCGCGGCGCGAGGCCGGCCATGGCGCGCGCCAGCCGCGCGGGGAGCGTGGGGGGAGCGGCGCCGCCTTCGCGCTGGCGCGGGGGCGCCGTACGGCCGCCCACGTCGTGGCCCCGCCTCCGCCGTAAAGCGGAGTGAAGGCGCCGGGGGCGGGGCCCCAGCGGGCGGCCGTTCGGCTTCCCAGGGGCGATCCCGACCGTGGGGCCTCGGCTGGGGGACGGGAGGCCACGCTGCTGCCGTAAGGCTAGTGGACAGAGTGGTTCAATGAAGGGCCGACGTGTTTGAAGCCAAATGCGGGAAGCCCAGTGGCCTGCCCTCGCTCACGCCCGACCGCCGCGCGGCCGGAGGCGCCTTCCTGGGCTGGGGGGTGCCCTGCGGGTCCACAGCATCCCCCACGCCCGTGCGAGGCCCTGAGGGCTCCCTTGGTCCGGGACCAAGTCCCGCTCCCCTCGTGCGCCCTAGAGCCGGGCGGCTTCGGCCCCGGGCCAGCACGCAGGCTCCCCCGGGGCGGGGCGGGGCGGGGCGGGGGCCCTAGGCTGGCGCAACTCCGGAGCAGGCGGTCGCTCCTAAAACTTTTTCCAGGGTTTGGGGAGCGGCTGGATGCTGCGGAGGAGTCCAGGAGCGAGCGGTGGCGTCAGCTCTTGTCACTTGTTAAGACGGGGAGGGAGTCCTATGGACACTTAGAAGAAACAGGTTTGATCGGAGGGAAGGGAACCTAGCTGCTGCCTTTCTGCAGCCCGAAAGCAGTTAGGGGTGCTCCAGAGAAGTGTTAAGTTCTTCTATTTAGGAGTGAACTGGGCTGTCAGGGACCCCCTCTACCCTCTAGGCTTCTAACAATACTTGGTCTTACTCGGAGCTGCAATGTGTAGAGGGGTCGGCCTGGGGGAGGTGCCAGTCCCTGCATTTGCTGAGGACCAGCTGAACCTCTCAAGGTAACATAGGAAATAACAATTGAGGTCAGAATCTACAAGCATAAAGCAATGGGCAGCAGTTAGAGCCAGGGCTTTTCCAGAGTCCCTTTTTAAGTCTGAATTGCTTGTTTTACATTCCCTCTAAGGTTTAAGCCAATGGTAAGGAATAGGTTGAGAATGAGCCCAAACCTAGGGGCCTTATTTATCTTTACAACCGAGCAGGTTTCAGAGGAAATAGGTCAAGTGATTGGTCGAGATATTGGGTCATTGGGAAAGTCATGACGTATTTTTCTGTTTTTCAATGCAAAAATGCGTCATGACTTTCCCAACGACCCAATAGGATAAATGGTTAACAGGCTTACCTGCCATGTCAAGGGTCACCTGCAGTTTTGCCCGACCGGGGGGAATCCTGACTTAATGTCCACAGCCAAGGGCTCTGAGCTGCTGAGCCAAACATGAACGCAAGTGTTCCCTCCCTTCATGCCTGAACACCCGCTGTCCTGTCCGTGGGTGTGTTGGTTTGAGTGGACAGTGGGGTAAGCCAGAGGAATTCTAGGTTGGGGGCCAAGGGCCATAAAAAAAAATGACGCACAATAAGCAGAGCCTGGCGGTGAGGTGGAGCTGGGGTGAGCTCTCTGTCCCCACCGGGCTGCTCCCTCTCCTCGTCCTCCAAGGCTTGGGAGAGATGCTGACCAGAGAGGGGCCAAGAGCTCTCCTGTGTATGAGCAACTCAGAGATCCCCAGTGCCCCCAAAAGGTGTCTGCAGAATGAGGACTCAATTACACCCCTCTCCTTTGGGAAGCCAATGGGACAAGCTCCAAGGCCAAACACCAAGTGAGAGGCATATGGAGGCATGCCAGGCATGGCATGTTGAAGGGGCCTAGCTGCCAAATGTTTTCTGGGCTGGGAAGTTAAGCTGGCATCACGGAGGCTGGTGTGCATGCCCAAACACAAAGACCAGTAGCAAAAGTCCTAACCTCCCTCGCTGAGGCAGAGCACTCACCCCCAGGGTAGCACTTGTAGTTCACCCATTTCTGCCCTTTGGGTGGGAAAGGCTGTCCTGGTGCTGGGACAGGGAGGGGCCCAGGGGCATAAGGACCAGCTCCCACTGGCCTTGGAATTAGGAAGTGAGGACGTGCTCCTTCCAAGTCTACTCTGACCCCCGGCCCACTCCCACCCAGGGCCTGTTAACTCCAGGCTCCAGCCCTCCCGGCCATGTTCCAACATGGAGGGAAGCACCCCTCCTCCTCCAGGGCTAGCAGGCTCCTGGGCCCCAAGCTCAGGTAAACCCATACCTGGTGACACACAGGTTTACGAGCATCATTGCCAGCCTATCCTGACATAAGGGGCCTTGAGTGCTGGTCCTGCAAGTTACTGACATGAGCCAAGGGCTGCAAGCCGGCTCAGCTAAGGGGTGCTGCAGATTGGGGGTTGGGGAAGCTCCGTGTGGCTGTGCAGGGTGTCGGTCTGCTGCCAATGGTCAGAGGTCTCTATGCCAAATTTGGAGGCAGACTTGGGGGAGAAAGCACGGTGTGTGCACGGAAGCTGCAGGCAACAGAGCCCACCGTCAGGCTGCATATGCCAGGGGCAGGCGCCCAAGTTCTATTTCCAAGCAATACACTCCATTTGCTCGATTTCCTGAGAGGTCCAAGAACCTTCTCACTTCACAGAACCGACACGTTCAGCAGCCTGAGCGCGCCTATGGCCCAGCACAGCAGCATCTGAACTCGGGAACCACAGTGTCGGTGTGAACCACACTGCTGTCAAAAGCCAGCACCTCAGGGATAGGACAGGAGACAGGACCTGAGGGTCCACCCGCCACAAGGCCCTCAGACATCAGCAGGTGCTTGATTATATTTGTACACCTGTTCAGGGAGCAGCGAGTCGTCTGGAGGACAGCAGTACTGAGTGTGTGTGTCACCTCTGGCTTTGCTCCCCACTCGTCCTTCACCTGCTGCCTGGTCACACGTGTGTCCCAGCATGCAGAGGCCCAGGTGCAGCCAAATGGCTGACAGGCAGGAAAGGCGCAGAAAGAGCACCCTAGGGAGGCCAGCTCTCCTCTTCCACCCAGACCTCCCGCTGGACGCTCAGGGCAGAGGACTCTGGGGGGAGGGGGTCGCCCTTCAATAGTCCAAACGTGTCAGTAGAGGACACTGACACAGTGAGGTGTGGATAAAGTGGTCACCTGACACAAAGGAGATGCGAACTCGCCCTGCAGACAAAAAGCTGAGGGTACAAGGAGAGGCATCAGGGCCCAGAACGACAAATGGGGAGCCTGGCATCGCTTCAGGTGCTTTTATTAGTTGCACTGCAGGGCTGGAGTCCAGGTAACGCTCACGCAAGCCCGGCCAACGCACACCCATGAGCCCCCAGCAGAGCCGAAGTGGGAGCACCAGGAGCAGAATGATAGAGGCCAGGCAGCCACTGTGTTCACCAGGGCAGGTGTGCGCTCAGCCACCCCTTGCTGGGCTACGGCGTCTGGTGGCATGAGAGGTCGTGTCCACGCGAGGGCAGGTAGGAGGCAGGTGGAACTCGGGGGGCCCTTCCCCTGCGCAGAGTGAGGCTGAGCTGCCTGGGCCCAGACCCGCCAGTTGGCAGGGCGCTCCCAACCCCTCGCTGAGCTCAACTCTTTGGACAATAAAATAAAGTGCATTACTGAACAGAGTGACTCAGAACCAGAAGCAGAGAAATCACGCTTTTTCTTTAGCTAAAAGACAGAAGGAAACAAACGAACGGTGCGGATGCCAGAACTTGAGAGAATATTGGCTGAAAGGAACTAGCTGGGTGGGTGAAGACAGAGCAAGCGGCACCTCTGGCCTCCCCGCGGCGCCGGGGAACAAAGGCCACGCACAAGGCCCACCTGCAGCCTCACATCGTACTGCAGGGACCAAACAGAGGCCGAGCTCAGCCAGTGTTCCTAGGGGTGCGGCCAGACAGTCCTGGGTAGCGGGCTGTGCTGCAGACGGGCTGCTCTGGCCCTCCTGCCCTCTGGACCAGCTGTTCTGCCGTGGCCCCGAGAGCAGACCAGTCTGTGCCTGTGGACCATGCATGGCAGAAGCCAACACCCAGTGCTCTCTGCACAGGCCTGCCCCCACCCCAGGGCAGACATGAAGTCCCCAAGCACATTCTGTTATCTGGGCCGGCCTCTCGCATGGGTTCGGGGCAGCTTGGAGACACGGCTCTTGTTAAGGCAAAGAGGCATCAGCGTGCCCACAAGTCCCTAGGGAAGGGCCCGACGACAGCCCAGCCAGAGGAAATTCAGGGAGCCCAGAGCACATGCGCAAGGTCTGACTACCACCCAGACCTCACACCATCAGCACAGTGGCCACTTTCCAATGTCCCCACAGCAGGCCCAAGTGGCCTCACAACAGGCCAAAAGCCCCTACTCCCTCAGTTGGGCAGGTCTCAATGGCTCCGTCACTGTGCCACAGACCAGGGGCTGGGCTGGGCCATGGGAAAGAACGGTGTCTGGGGCGAAGGCGACCGGAGCTTCTGGTCCTGGGCAACCCAGCTCACCCTGTGCAGGCCTGGCCAGCGGTATCGGCCGTTTGCCTGGCAGGAGCCGCTGCTGCGCTCCTGCTCAGATGGCCCGCGTCTGCAGCTGCCGCAGCTATACAGCTTGGCAGAAAAGTCTCAGGCACTGAGGTTTACTTCCAAGAAGTGACTGTGGGTCCCCGTCCACACTCACCCACCCTGCACACACCCACAGGGACTCACTAGAGGGAAGGAAGTGGAAACTAGTCTCACTCCCCTTTTATGCAGTTTTCATCTTAAAAAAATAATAAATAAAAGTCTTCCGGGCAGGAATTACTGATAACTGTTATTACAACCAATTCCGACTTTAAACCCCCACCTGGATGTCAGGTGGGGACAGGAAGAAGGGTAGGCAGCAAGTTAACCTGCGGATCAAGCAGACGGGAGGCCAGTGAGCCTGTGGCCGCAGCAGGCAGGGTCTGCCCCAGAGCATCAGGGTACAGAGGCCAGCAAGAGCCCCCAACCAAAACCACGGGAGGAGCAAGAACAAAAAGCATCCAAAGGAAGGAGAAAGAAAGCCGATGGCAGCAGCAGGTGCTCCTGCCCCTCCATTCCAGGTGAAGTTAGAGGCGCCAGTCCTCCCAGCAGTGGGGGCTGGCACCCGAGGCGTCCAGAGGAGGCCGCCCGGGCCCCACTGGGGGACTGGTTCCAGCCAGCAGAGCACCAGCCTGGCCCCTCTTCCAGGGCAGCCACCCCCGCCCTGCCTTTGGGGCTGCCGGCGTGGGAACGGTCCCAACGATCCTGGTCAGAGAGGGCTGGGGTGGGCCCAGTCCTGCCAGCAGGGGCCGGAAGCCCTAGGTCCTGGGGAGGCTGCACATCTCGCAGTGGCCGGTGCCCGGCTGGTTCATGAAGGTGCAGTGTTGACAGGCCCACATGGCGGCCGTGGCGGCGTGAGAGGAGCCCCCGACAGCGCCGTACTCGTGGAGGCCTGGGAGCTGTACCCCGACTGTGCCTGTGGGTGGGGAGAGAAGCCAGTGTCCGTCACTTCTGCACAGGAAAACTTCCACCCTTTGGGACTCTGTTACGCTCGTCAGAGTGAAAGTGGACTCTGTTCTGGGTGCCAGCAGATGTGGCTCGAGAACCCAGCGTCCCCGCGTACTTCCAGAACCCCACCACAGAGCTGCTGTCTGCAGAGCTCCAGCGTGGAGGGGCCACCCACTCACCCCCGCCCTCCTTGCTGAGGCAGTTCTGTGTGAACTCCCTCACTGGTCACCCACCCCTCATGATGAACATCTGGGTCACTTCCAGTCCTGAGCTACCGTGAATAGTCCTGCACGAACCTTTGTGTGCATGTTTTCATGTCTCTTGGGTAAAAACCCAGGAGTGGGCCTGTCATATTCTCACTCTCACCAGGTATGCCAAGGTTCCGGCCGCAGTCAATTCTTTCATTTTAGCCGCTCCAATGAACGGCAATGGCATCTCATTTAATTTGCATTTCCTTGATAACTAATGTTAACCACTGCTATATTTTTGTGAAATGTCTAAATCTTTTGCCCAGTTTTTACTCATGCTCTTTCTTTTGAATTATTGATTATCAATATGCAGAGCTCTCTATACAATCATGTGCCACGTAACAACATTTTGGTCAACAATGGACCCACCCATATGACGGTGGTCCATATACAATGGAGCTGGAGTTTTCTATGGTCTAGTGATGTCATGGCTGGCATGACATCGCAGTGCATTCCCATTTGTGGGGACACTTGCATCAACAGACCCCCTGAGCTGCCAGTCATGTAACAGCATGATGACGCATTTCTCAGTATCCCGTCGTTAAGTGGCACACGACTGCACTTCAGTCCCATGTCATATACATGTATTGCAGACACTTCCCCCCAGTCTGTGCCCTGACTTTTTGTATTTTAAGAGTCTTGTGATGAGCACAAAGTTTCAATTCGATCAAGTTCTATTGGCTGATCTTTCACAGTCAGTGTTTTTCTCAGTCCTACCACAAGGTCCTCAAGATGGTCAGCTTGCTGTCGTCGTAACTTTTACCTCGACATCTATGACCCATCTTGAGTTGACTTCTGTACATGGCGTACGCTGTGGAGGTTAAGGTCTGTGTGCTCTTTTTCAAGGTGGTCTAGGCCCTCTGCACTCCCAGATAAATGATGTAACTCCCCCCACCCCCACTCCGAAAAAGAAAAAGCCTGTGGGGATTGTGACTGGGATTGTGCTAATTTGGGGAAAACTGACATCTTATATAATATGAGTCGCTCAATCGGAAAGATGGTATTTCTTCCCATTTACTTAGTTCTGCTTTTGGCAGAGTGCTAGCTTTCAGCAGGGAGCTCTTGCATGGCTTCACTAACTGTGCCCCTAGGCGTTGCAATGTATTGTGGTGCTAGCATTAATTTGTCACCAATGCCATGCACAGTGATTTCAGCTCCATGAGTAGAATACCTGTTGATAGGATCTGACAATCACATAACACACTTGGCAGCAAAGTGAGTCACGACCGCCAGGAGCTCTCCAAGCAAGGCTGTGTCTCCCTGCTGCCATGGCACCGACGCCAGACACGGAGTGGGTTTTCTCTCCCCCCGTCTAAGCACACAGGGTGCAGCCCGCGGACCCCAGCTCCCATGGGGCCGCTAGCTTTAGGTTAGTGTCTAATGGGGATGGCAAAAACATGCTGACTGCTCAGACTGGAACCTCTTCAGACCTAGTCTCCGTTTCCCCAGCTGGGCCACTGCGTGTCCTGGATGACCTCCTGGCCGACCCGCCCTCCCGTCAGGCCCCCAGGGAGCCCTGTGCTTGTCCGCTTCCCTGTGTGCAGTCCCTTTTGGGACTCTTCCTGGGTTAAGAGAGGGGGCTCCAGTACATGGAAGCTACTGCAATCAGTTTCTGTGTGAAGGATCCCCAAATAGCACGGGGTGCGGAGAGCCCCTTATGTGGGAGTTACACCAGGTGCTGAGGCCACTAGCCAGCAGCACCACTGTCCACCCAGGGACACAAGGCTGCAGGGCTCTATTTTAGGGAGTTTGGTGGGAACAATTTGTCCTCCGTCTCTTCCAGAACATCTGAGCAGTGTTCAGAACACCAAGAACACATGGCACACAGGGCGGCCACACCACTGGCTTGGCCTTCAGAACTGTGTGGAAAGAAAACTTAACAAGAAGCACAACACAACCAAGGCTCTGGAACCACAGAACTCCTGGGTGTCTCAGTATCGCGAGAGTGAGGACGCTCAGTCGGCTCCACTTGGCTCAGGTCCTGCGGAGGTTCTGCTGGGCTAATTTGGGCTCTGGTGCCTACCCACTAGATTGAGAAGACAGTGTAAGCTTCTTTATATATGCATTTTCAGTTGTCCTGAAGGGCCTGTCCTTCTCAAGCCCACAGAGAAGACACAGCGCCTGCCCTTTGGCTTCACGGCTGGACGGGCTGGGCCGGGCCGCACGGTGCAGCAGCTCACACGCACGAGATGGCTGCGCTGGGAGCAGCTGCCCCCAACAGCGCACAAGCCTCTCTCATCCGGGTGGTGCGGTCACTCAGGCTCCTGGAGGCACAGCACCCCACATTCTATTCTAGAACTCTTCTCCCCTTTCAATCAAGAAAACTCTGAGGACTAGTGGGAAAAAGGAGAAAGAAAAGCCTGAGAACACCACAAGGTTCCTGTCCTCGCAGCACGTGTGTGAATGTGGTCTGTTTATCTAAAATAGTGACTTTTCAAGTGCTCCCAAGATGCTTGAACATTAGTGTGTCCAGTGCGCACATGTGTCAGAACTCACAGAGCTGTGTACTAACGATCTGTGGCCCTGGAGCACGTGTGTCACAGTAGTGAACGCCCAACATGCCCTGGCAGATCCATCTGTGCTCGCCCAACAGCCCACGACTCCCATCGGAACACATCTGGGGTCAGGCTTCTAGAGCATAATGAGAAGCTCTGGAGCTCTGTAGGTCTGTGACCAGCACCCTGGGCTCAGGTGTGACCCTGGGAACGGAGGAAGGGGAGGCCACTTACTGCAAAGCTGCTCGATGGTGGCCCACTGCTCCGACTTCTTCCATGTCTGCGCAAGCTCCTCATTTCTGGTCCTCACGGCCTCCAGCAGCAAGCTGATGCTGTCCTGCGAGAAGCCAGATAAGAAGGTTCCGACTTACTCTGCCTGCAGTGGACACACTTTTTTTTTTTTTTTAGCTGAGCCATCCTGCCACCTGTTGGCAGCTCAGTGGCTGCTCAGCTCGGGCCGGGACTCAAACCGCTGTTGCTCAGAGCTCAAACTCTTGAGCGAGCTCTTAACCAACTGAGCCACTCGGCCGGCCCTCGGTAGACACACTCTTGCTATAGGTTTCTTCTTCCCTAACATCACAATGCAACTTCAAAGGGAACTGAGAAAACCTGGCAGTCTGTCCTTATAAAATGCAAAATGCCACACACTTTGGTCTATAAATACGAGTGCTACATTGAGCTAGGAATTAAATTCTGCCCAAACGGCCCCAAGTTGGCTGCTGTGCCATCTGTCACGTAGGTAACAGAAGCTCCCATCCCTTCTCCTGGGGACTTAGGTGAAGGGACAGGAGCCCATGGTCATCAGTCCACCCTTCTCCCTCCAGCTTTCTCTTTTCAATCACATATTTAAAAGCACACTCTATAGCCTAGGCCTCAGGGGGCAAAATGAAGAGAATACATAATGAGAGGTTTATAAGCCTCAGGGGGCCCTCAGTACCTACAGAAAATGATTTCTGATAGGGGACTGCAAACCAGGACCTGCTGGCTGGCGAGGGGGCCCTGCTGTCGAGCCCCACCTTTCACATCTGGCCAACTACACGGGCAGCGGCTGAACCTGGGACTGGAGGTGCAGCTCTCAGGGCTTAACAGGGAAGGCAAAACCGGGGCAAGTCTCAGGGTGCCTGGTGTGAAGTATCAGAAAAGGGTAGATTTTGGACAAAATAAAGACACAAGATAAAGCCAGCAGAATACAAGAAAAGCTACAGGCCACCTGATGGGGAACAGCAGAGGGGAGGCGGGGCCTCCCCATCTTGTTCTGTCACCTTTGGGGGAAGGTGTTGAGTCAGGGATATCAGTATCTCAGAAAGAAACCATTCCTTTCTGGTGTTTCTGGGTGTCTCAGGCAGAAAAAGGCCAAAGAAAGGACGCCCACGACACAGCACATGCAAAGGGCCTCCCGGCTGGATCTGCTGCCCAGCGGCCGACTGCCCCCCTGCTCAGAAAGCAGCTGCCGTCTGGCCCACTCACCCTCTTGTCCCGCGACAGGGTGTCTTAAAGTGCCGGCTGTGCAGCTGTGCACGCAGGGCCTGGCTGCTGGCCAAGGCAATAGAAGCTGAGGTGGGAGAGGGGACGTCAGTAGGAAGCAGGGCTGCGGTTCTGAAGCTGTCAGGCCTGGAGTTTTGGTTGGGTCTCTGATGCTCCGTGCCAAGGAACACAGACCTCAACCATCTCTGCTTCCCACATGGTTGTAACAAACGAAGGAGGCCAGCCTCCGTCACAGAAAGCGGACACGTAAGTGTTTTCATGCAAGTGCTAACTGTGAAAAAAAATCATCTTTCTATCAATAAGCCCCTTGTGAAAAGCTACGGCCCACAGCACGTAAGGCGGGGACTTCGACCCAAGTCTCTGGTTGGTGAGGAAAGGAAACACCTCTTTATAGCCAAACCCCACCTGGGGACCACCAAAGCCAGGTAGGTGCTTAGCAGGCACGCGCTGGTCCGTACCTGCAGAGGCATGACCTCATTGGTGACCAAAAACAGCAGGAGGTGGAAATCCGAGATGGTATCCAAGAACACGGACGAGGTATTCTGGGACAAATAGGTGGCCAAACTATGGAAGTCCTAGTGAAGGGATGGGAGGAAAGGGAATAAACACGGCATTCCATCACAGTCCCTAGTGCCAGACCCAGAGGAAAGCCTTTCTCCTCTCAAGACATAACTGAATACATTTAAGGCTGATGGACGTCTCTCTACCTCTTTTTCTACAGCCACTGATGGGGACCAAGGGACAGAGGAACACGCAGCTGAGGAATAAGCTGCGGCCTTCTTCTCCCAGGAAGGTGATCCAGCTGTGAGACATGTGCACTCAGGGACTGTCCCTTCCCGCCTAGGTGCCTTGTTGACCCAAGGAAGACACTGGGGAGGAGTTGTGTGTGTGTGTGTGTGTGGGGGGGTGCAGGCGCACTATGTAACAAGGACTATAAACAGGAGACTCATGGTTGCCGCCCCAATAAGTGGCTCTGCACCTCTATAAGCACCCCGAGTCTCCAGGCAGATGGGCGGTGAGGAGACCAAAGTGTCAGAGGTTTTGTAAACAAACCACCGCCTCAAAAGAAAATCTCTTTACAGACATTCTTTAATGAAGCCATTTTCTGCAACGCCTTTTACCCAATCAGACCATCTACGTGGCCCCCACAGTGCAGTCACAGCAGTTCTGATCTGCCCTGCTCTGCAGGGGAGAGCGGAGGCCACTGCACGAGCAGGAAAGCCAGGGTGGCCAGGCACGAGAGGCCCCACGCTCGCATGCTGCCTGAGAAACACAGCGGGTGAGCAGGCAGGGCCGGGGCCAACAGTGGAGTGAGACAGCTCCATAAAGAGACAACGTGCATCAACAACAAGAAGTTGTTGTAAGAGGACACTAAGTGACAAATTTTGGGGAGAAAAACAAGTCAACTAAGAATGGTCCTCCTGGCCAAGCCGTAGGCCTGACTGGCGGGGATGTGCCTTGGTGGTCACCTGTCACCTAGCTCAGGGAGGGATCAGTGATGGACAGTGTCAGGGAAAAAGGGCCAGCTGGGCTCTGCCACAGAATGAATCAGGGCATCTGAAAGCTGGGTACTTCGGAAAAGCAATGCTAGCACTACATAAACAAGCAAGAGTTACTTAAATTATATTTCTAGAGATAAAGAGCTTACCTGTGTCTCACCCAACACATCCCGGTTTTCAATAGGAAATGGATTTTGCGAAATAGAAAAAGTATAAACTGGGTCCTTGGGGAAAGTTGTTGTGATCTAATGAATAAAAAGACAAACCCATGACAAATTAATTATACTGTAAACAGGGCAGCCCTCAAGTGTCCCCCAGCCCCAGCCCCAAGTTACAGCAAACAGAGCCCTAATTTAACCCTTAGAACCACCTGAATGAAAATTTAGGCATTGACTCTGGGAAGCAAACTAAGGAATCATTTTTAATAATTCCTAAGATCATGCCACATGTGGGCAGCCTGAGGACAGCAGACCGGCTCCATGATGTACCACTCAAGCCCACCTGGGACTGCCCGAGGCACAGCTCCCATGTGATAAGCCTGCCACACAGCTGCTCTCTGCGGCCATGTATGAACTCACGGGTGACCATGGGGACAGCACGGAGGCCTTTCGGGAGCTGGCTGCTCCCACCATGGTCTGAAGGGCACATGCAGAGTCAGCCCGATGGTTCTGAGAGCCGCAGCGCTTCTGAGTTCAGGGCACTGCTCCGTGGGGCCAGGGTGTGAGCAGGCAGGAAGGACCAGGGCCTCTGGGCTGCAGGGCACAGCTCCCACTCTCCCCTGGGGACACTGGGACCGAGAACTGGTGTCTGAAGGGAGCCTAAGCCCTTCATTGGCTCAGACACGCTTTTGCGACGACCGGGGGCACGTTACATCTAACATATCATCACCAGAAACCACAGGAACAGTGTAAATGTGCGAGAATCGACAGGTGGCTTCTCACTGCTCCTGGCAGAGTCCCTCCCACAAGAGCCCCAAGTGGGAGCTGTCATCCACCTTTTGGCTGACGCAGCTTTTCCTCTGCAAGACGACACTAGCAGCAAAAGGTTTAGGCAGCCACGCTGGTTCCTTTGGGACTATTTCTAAAGAATGAAAATGTTGTCCTGTCTGTTTTTCAGCTTGGCAGAGGCAGCGACACGCTGTGACTGCACCAGCACTAAGGCCAAGCCGAGCCCCACGCCCTCTCATGGACCAGACCAAGTGGCCTCGTGGAGGAGGCTGTGGACTTGAGGGACACGGCCTGTCCCAGCTGCGTGGCCCTGTCAGCCAGGACCCCCTGCCTCACTTTGTTCATTCCCACACCCTAAGGCTGCCATGAGGATTAAATGCCCACAGAGGCGAAGCCCTCAGAGTGGCCGGTACACACAGGCTCAGCTTAGCTGCGGTCATGACTCCAAAGTCAGCAGAGTCCACGCTGTTGAGACCAAGGCCTGTGGACGGCTTGGGCCCTCCCTCTGGGAAGGCAGATACGGCCATGGGCCAGCACAGCGGAACACCCACTAGTAACTAAATGTGGGGTTAAGAGGAGTGTTTGTTAGACACGTGATTGCCCCTTGGAGTGCTCAGTACCCATCCAAGGCGCCTGGGGAAGGGGACACAGGGACTGAGCCCCTGAGCTGTGCTTAACCCCTCTCCCTACCTGCTCTGGTCAGGTGGTGGGCCTGGGGCTAGATGAGGAGCTGAGCACACTTGTCTGGGCACACGCCATCAAGGGACTGCTCCAACTTCTTCACCAAGAACAGAGACCTTCAGCATCACACAGGGGGAATGTTCCTTCATCAACCCAAATCACTGAAACAATGCACTAGGGCAGGGGTCAGCAAACTGCGGCTCGCGAGCCACACGCGGCTCTCTGGAGACGTTCCGTCTCAAAGGTTTGCCGACCCCTGGAAGAGCCAAGCCTGTCCCTCACAACAATTTAAAATTATTTGAGAGCCATAAATATATTTTTACAAGTAAGAAAAATTTAAAGTAATATTATAAATGAAACTATGAGAGTTTATTTTCATTTTTAATTTTACTTTAGAGCCACATGTACGTACCCAAAGAGCCGCATGTGGCTTGTGAGCCACAGTCTGCCAAGCCCTGCACTAAGGCAAAAACTTAGCTCCTTTATAAAAGAAGAGGGGTGGAGCAGCCACTGGGAGAGAAGCCCTCAGAAAGCTGGCCTGAAATCATGCCGACGCTGCCTAAGAATGTGCTCCATCAATCTGTTTTCATCTTAATTATACCCCAGGTAGCCTAAAACAGATGCCTTTATGGCCCAGGTAAGAAATATGATCTCGGGAGCTATTAATGGATGGAGCGCCAGTGCTCGGCTCCCAGGGACCTGCTGCCCCCAGCGCAATCGTCTTTTACAGCCTGCATCACACGCCTCCCCCAAGTCCACACGCAGCCACACAGATGCTGGCGGGCAGCAGCTAGGAAACGAGCTGCTCCCGTCACCTCGGACAGAGCACTGACTGCTGCAGACGTGACGGACTTCCGTCCTGCAACGCTCACAGCCGTGGTCTGCAGCCACTGCTCCATGACCAGAGCGTGCAGCCAGAGCTGAGACTCTGAGCAGGTGCATTGGAGTCCTGGGCCTTCTTGGCTCCTAGAGCTCCACCCAGGAATCCACACGACCACTCATGTAAGAATAGTCACAGCTGTGTTGCCTGGGGCCGACTCAGGCACAGTGGCCCCCTGTGAGCTGTGACCAGGGCAGCACCCACACATGCCACCCATGAAGCCACGCTGGGTCTCTGACCTCCAGAGGCTGCTCGGCTTGGTCAGTGATCCTTCGTTGCACTTTAGTTTGGGAGAAGTTAACCCCTAAGTTGTTTTTAAGGAAAAAAACAAAACTGAAAGAAAAAGACCCTAAAATTGTAAGCTTTTCCAGGGATGCCAGGAGCTTAATGGGCCCAGCACCCCTGGCGGCCTGTCCTGCGCTACCAGGGGGGAGACTGTCCAGGATGCTGCCAGCCTCGTGCAGTGACCACCCCCAGTCCTGACCTCTAACTCGCCCACCGTGAGCCCAGGAGGAGACGACACGCACTTACATCTATGATCAGATACTCCACGGGCAGGGGGCGGGCCAGCTGGGTGATCTCGTTGCCAAACTTGTCTGTGTCCTGAAAGGGGAAACAAAGGTAAGTGAAGGCGTGCTGACCAGTGACACATTTTTCCTTCCACATGTTTGTCTCACCTTTTAAATTACTACAATTCTTGGTGAAGTATATGAAAAGCAGAAAGGAAAATGTGCCTCTTTCCAGTGAATCCTCCTTCCATCATTTCCTGGAGCTCTTCACGATGGCCATAACACGAGAAAGCAGCCGTGCTCTTGGCGGACGGGGAGTCCCCACGGGGAGCGCCTTCCAGCCTTGCCACCCCCACTCGCACTCCAGCCTGGCTCCTGCCGCCTCAGGCTCCATCTGTGCCCTCTCTGCCTCTGCAAGCTGGCTCAATCACAGGTCTGAATACTAATTCTTAATGAGCTCACACCTCAGAGAACCCGACTTTACGGAAACTTAATACTTGTACATTACTAAAAAAATATGCACACAAATGAGTGCACACACACAAACACACAGACATGGAAAAGCCCCACCACCCACCTGTCAAAGTCTAAACTTGCTTTGCTTTGTCAGATGCACGGAACATAAAGTTTAATTATGGGGAAAAATGGCCAGCATATGTTCATTAATCATAAAATGACAATTAGATCTGATTTATGTCAAACATGCTGCGTTCAAACAGAGCTCTAGGAATAAATTCATAAAAACTGATGCTTTTCATTAAAGATTCTGTAAGAGGGGGTCATATTTTCTATCTAAATCATCACTTAACATTATATATATCATTCATTGAGTCGTATATAAATTATACATCCATAATTTCCCATTACAGGGCCTTACATAAAAGTTTATGTTTATTAAGCTCTCATATCCGAATGGGTGCCAAGCAGATGTCCCTGAGGTGAGCAGGGCAATGCAAAGCCACCCCCGGCTCTCCACACCTTCCCGGGCAGCCCAGAGCCCCATGCCATCTTTCAGACAAGCTTCACAGGCTACTCCTGAGGGAGACCTGGTCCGCTGCCCTCAAGGGAAGCCCAGAGACCCCATCTGGTTGTGTTCCTTTTGTTCAGAAATGAACATTTCTAGCTGCAATACATCTCAGTTTACCACCCACACAACTGCCAACAAGGACTTGTCCTTTTGCCCCCGCAGAAAACCCATCTAACCCGCTATCTACACAGGGCGCCTTCCTGGCAACATAAGCTCTGTCTGCCTGCCTTCCTGTGATGCGGGAACGACTCTCCACTCCGTCTGGGTAGGAGTCGTTGGTCCCTCCATGGACAGGTGTGCCCTGTGCTTGTTTCTGCAGCAGCCAGGTTGGTTGGATCCAGCTTTGGGAGCTCTCCCAGCTTTGACAGGGGCAGCCCGAGATGTGAGCCGCTGAGTGGGTCCCAGGGCCCTGGAAGTAGCAGTTTCTCAATGGAAGAGACATGGTAGGAAGCAAGAATTGAACCCAATCAAATGAAATCACCATTTCCAAATATACACCCTTGCCCTTACAAGAAATAACCTGCAACAACTCACACATCACTAGCCCGTCTGGAATTCATCCTCGAACCTAATTAAGCTCTAAGAGGCAGAGACATTTCTCTAGCATCTGCTCCTTTCGTCTTCCCCTCCAGGGATTTTTTTTGCTAAATGCACCTCTCTCTTTTTCTGTGTCTTGCTATTCTCTTTCAAATTTAACTACCCAACTGTGCCTTGCTGCTCACCAAAAAGATTAAGATGTTGCACCCCCTTTCTTCTGGGGCAAACAGGTAACTTCTATCGCTGCCCATGCCTTTACCCCAGTGGTTTGGCCGGCCGACCCCAACCCTATCCACCACTTTAACAGGCAATCACTTTTTATGGGCATCAGCAAATGCCAGCAGGAATACGCTTGGAGGAAGACACGGTAATCTAAGTCTGGCAGTTGCCAGTGTCAGTGGCTTTACCTCCACTCACTGCCTCACTACCTGCTAAGGGCCACTTCTGCAAACAGCGGCACCAGCATGGTGCCACCAGGAAGAAACCCAGGGCCTCCGTCTTTGTGAGCACGAAGGAACGTGGCCCCGGTGCTACAACAGCAGCAAACTCCATGGGTTGGTGGCAGCACCTTGCTTTGGAAAAGCAGATGAAATCCTGAATCTATTGCTTTTCTCTTTAAAGAACTGAAGAGAAGGGTAACAAGTAACACAAGCAGCTTGATCTGTAACTTCACAGGACAGAGCAAGAAAAACTCACAACAGTTTCGTGAAGCATCACCCTTTAGGGAACAGTCAAGCTGATGAGACCCACGGAGTCCCTATTAGGTGCAAACCATCAGCCGCTGGCATTTATTTCTGAGACGTCATGGCGTCTGCTCCAGGCTCACCGCCACAAGCACACAACCACTGGCTGCCCAAGACGTGCTGAGGCTGCTGAAGGTGAGAAAATAAGTGAGGCGCCAGAGCTCTACCAGCCGGGGGTGGAGGACGTGGGGGGTGAGAGACCAACCCATCCACATCAGAACACAGGATCTCAGTACCTCCCAACCACGCCCCTGCCGCAGGCCCCCACGCTGACAGCAGACCTCGCCCAGCAAGACGCACGTCCCACTCAAGGGAAAGAGTGACCACCAAGCTCAGGTGGCAGGTACCACAAAGTCCTTTCTCCAGACTGGGTATCACGTCCTTGTGTTGTTCAGAATCTTTTTTCTTATTGGCAATTTCTTGATTGATTGATAAATTTTCCTGAATAATGCAATAACAATTCATAATCCCTGTGATGAAAACATTTCTTTCAAGAAGTTGAATAGTGCAGGGTCTTGCCCTAACAAATACAAAAGTGTACTGTGGAGCTGTAATAAATAAGGATATAATGGGTAAATGGACTATGGATCTCAGTGTAAAATTAAATCATAAAAGCACTGTAAGAAAGTGTAGGTAAACATATACCTTTAGGATAAAGAATTGCTTCCTAAGTATGATGACAAAGGAATGCTGTATCTTTGAAATTAGAAAATATTTGGGTTTTTTGTATGAAAAGCATTCAGAAAATGATGACCTGGCCCATGTTTGCAACATGACAAAGCGTTAGCATAGAAAAGACCTCACATATGAACGCAGAAATGATGAACCATCTCTCAATTACCTAAGCACACGTAGGAGATTCAGAGAAAACGCCGATACACACAGGAGACCCCACTGAGGGAAGACTTCCAGAGTGGGGTGCCTGGGCGGGAGGGCCCAGGGCAGGGCTGGTCTGCCTACAGCTTTCCAGAGTAAACTACCCAATCTTCTTAGAGAGAAATTGGGAGAACTCATAAAACCCTTTAAATATATGTCATCCATTGACAAAATGATGCCAGTTCTGGGAATTTGTCCCGGTGGTTTAGAAACTTGCAGAATGAGCTACGGATGGCCCACAGAGCACGATGGGTAAGCGCCAGACGCTAGGACAGACCCACGTGTGTGTGGCTGAGGGACTGGTGGTAACAGATATGATGACCTAGCCGGAAGGGAGCCCTGGAACAGCCAGTCCCTCCACAGCCAGCAACTCCAGGCGCGCCGCTGCAGCTCCTGTCACCTCTTCCTGACCTCGCAACACTGGCACCACACCGGCCCCTCAAGCCAGGAATCCACCCTCCGACCCCTGGCTGGGCCAGCCCCCTAAGAGCAGGTTCCCCAGGTCTGCTCAACACCCTCTTTGTCCTTGGAACAATCTCAGCTTCTCTCATCTACTTCCAGGGCTTTAATTTGGGCTTTCTGTGCAGATGACCTTGAAAACAGCATTCTCGGTCCACACCTCTTAACAGCTTGACAGCAAACCCCTAATGTCAGCAACTGAACCCCCACCCCACACACTGGCAGCTCGGTCTCAGTATACACCCCCACCCGAACCACAGACCTGGACCCATCTGGGCTCCTCCCTGCAGCCCTGCAAGGCCTCTGGGACTCGCTCCAGCACACCCTCTCCATCCCTAAATGCCACAGGGGATGGACACATGTCACCTGGATTAGGGCATCAGCCTTCTCACCGACTTGGTTTTCAGCCCTTTCCTGCTGCTGCATTTCACCCTCGACTTCAGACCCACCTCACATCTCTCTCCTGCTGCCCTCTCCTGGGTCGGCCACGGGCATCTGACGCCTGTGCCTCCTGACCAGTCTTCACACCCCCAGCAGGAATGTCCCACAACCACCTTCCATCTCTCCTTTTGGCTTCCTCCTGCCCACCACACCCATCACAAGCACCCGTCAGCCAGACCGAGCCTCTGGACTGTAGCCCCTGGATGGGCTCCCACCCACCTGGCTACGTCTCACACTCTTCAGGTCCTGGAGCATCTACCACACCACACCAGGACACCTCAACAGTCACCCAGACAGCCCGGGAGGAGGGGCAATGTGTGACCTGCTCACCGCGGGAGGCCCAGGACCTGGGCGGAACACCTGGCCCCTGATTAAAGTCTGGACCAGAGAAGAGGCTGCAGGCCCAGTGGTGATGCCATTAGCAGCTTGCATACATCCTGCGTGCACAGGGTGGGGCTGGAAGGACAGGTGAAGGCAGGCCTAATGTCTCATTAATCCATTATAAATGCAAACTTGATTTCATATTAATAAAATGTTCTGTACATTAATTTTTGGACTACCTGCACTCCTGATGCACACGAGACTCTGATCGTGACCCCAACTTTGCGGTCCTGCTGCCTGTCCCCTGCCATCCCTTGCCTCCTGCCGAGATGCTCGCTTCGCCAGCACTCCACCTCCTGCCTCACTCTCAGCAGATAACTTGGCTTCCGGTGAGCAACTGAACTTGCAGACGTCCCTGTCCCCACTCCCCCCCACCGACCTCCCAGCTGGCCATTGCCCCATGGCAGCCCAGCTATGTAGGATCCGAACCCAGGCCCTGCTACTCAGAGCAGGCGTCCCAAACCAGCTCTTAACCAACGAGCAACTCGGCCGGCCCTAGTGATTACTGTTAATATGTCCTTCTGCAGGGGTGAAGCATGGTACAAGAAACGGGTGACTCGTCTTAAGTCATAAAGGGGCGCGCCCGTGGTGTGCAGGGGAAAGACCACACGTCCCTCCCCAATTGCCCCA